CAGCGCGGATTAGGCGGGCTGCCTCGCTGGGGCTCGGGGGTCCGGCACCCCCATTCCGGGGAAGAGGGGCCCGGGTGTCCAGGCCGCACTCCAGCCAGCAGACGAGTTAAAGGAGGCGGCAGGGTGGGGTGCACTGTCCTGGGGAACCCTCGGTTAATTACCAGGCAGGGAACATTGCGGACTGGGACCGCCCCAGCAGCTCCTAGCGCGGCCGAGATTTTGTGCGGAAGGAGGCAAAATTCGGTGGAGAGGTCCCCCATCCAGGCTGTCCTGGGCGTCTGCAGCCCCCCCCCCAACCTGGACCCCGCCATCGCAGAGTCTCTCCCCCAAAAGCACAGCCACGAATTTTGTCCACAATTTCTGGGGACCCTGACCAGATGGGAAGATCTAACCTCCCAGGCCCGAGGATGTACCAAAAAGGTGTCCTCCTTCCCGGGTCTGCCCGTGGCTGGGCTCCCGGCCCTCACCCTCTATTGCCACCAAACCCACTTTTCTAAGAGAAGTCACCTCTCCCCAAACTGAGCTACTAGCCCCCAAACCCTGCAGGCCTGTGATACTGGGCCACTCAGAGCGGACCCATCAGGCATAGGCACTCCTGGGGGCTCCCCAAATTCAGAGACTCCAGAACAGCGCCGGAGGGGGGGGGTGGAGTTTGGGAAGTGGAGGATGGTGAGCAAGTGCTGAAATGCCCGGAGTCTCCCAAAGCATGGGCAGGGAGCTGGGATGGGTCTCCCAGGAGCAAGTACAAGGAACGGAAGAGAGAAAGAAAGGAATGGAGGAGAGAAAGAGGGAAGGAGGAGGAGGAGGGGTGACCAAGAGGAAACTTCACCCAGCACTGAGCCTGGTAACATCAGCCACGGGACTGGTCTTTGCAAACTCCCGATACTCGCCCAAGGCCCCCAAAACTGAGAGCTGAGACCTGGGTTGGCCCAGTCCTTGAGCCCCCAGCTGCCACTAAACGCAGGTGTGCTGGGGGCTGGAGAGTGGGCCTGAGTCCTGCCCGGAGCAACTGCCTGCATCGGGGCTACCAGTGCCAGACGCTGTGTGCACAGACAGACCCGCGGCCACAGAACCCCAGTGAGTACATTGGAAGCTGGAGAGCAGGCTGCGGGATGAATCCTGATCCTTCCATCCCCACCGCCAGCCCACTGCCCTCCTGTGCCCGAGTTCCTGCTGATGCCAAGTACCCCAGGCCCGGGCCAGGGCAGGAGGAGGCTGTGCGTCCCGTGGGGCAGGGTGCATGTGGATTTGTAAGCGTCCAGCTTGGTCTGATGGTGGAAGTGTGTGAGCCAGGGGATCTCTCCAGGTGTGTCTGTCAGTTCGTGTGTCTGGGGTGGAGTATCCTGTGTGCAGTCATGTGTCCCCGAGGTCTCTGAACTCCAGTGTGTGTGCGGGGGAGTGTGTCCTGTGCAGGCGTGTGGTGAGCTGGTCTGGTGTGTCGATCTGTGCGTACTGCTGGACGGGTGAGGAACCGTGTGCCTGATTTTGCATCCAGGAAGTATCTGTGGGCGAGTGTGTATGTATTGATGTGGGGTGGAGTATCCTGTGTGCAGTCATGTGTCCCCGAGGTCTCTGAACTCCAGTGTGTGTGCGGGGGAGTGTGTCCTGTGCAGGCGTGTGGTGAGCTGGTCTGGTGTGTCGATCTGTGCGTACTGCTGGACGGGTGAGGAACCGTGTGCCTGATTTTGCATCCAGGAAGTATCTGTGGGCGAGTGTGTATGTATTGATGTGTGTTAAAGTGTGTCCCTTATTGTCCTGGGCGATAGAAGGGGGCGGTGAGGGAGGGGAGACCCTGGTGCAGCCAAGAGCTGGAGTATCGGCCCTGAGCTCAGCCTCTTACCTCCATAGTAGGTGTATGGCGTGGACCCCAACATTTCAGACTCGTCCAAGCGGCCCCCCAGGGGACGCATGCGCCTCGGACTCCGAAAGAAGGCGTGTCTCCGAGCGCCCAGGGCGCTTAGCTGTTTCATCCTGCGTTCTTTGGACCGCCGGTTCTGGAACCACACCTGGGACAGAGGAGGGGGCAGTGAGCTCCGTGGTGGGCATCCTCTCCTGGCCCCGGCCGCCCCTGCGGGGTCCTAGCGCCTCCTGCCTCCAAGACTACCCTGAGTCGAGGGGGAGGGGGCGCGGATTAGGCCGGAGGGGTGGAGAGGGGCCTCGGTGAACCAGCCAAGGGTGAAGGATTTGGCGGACCCTTGGGGCGACTCATAAAGACTCGGGCTTCCCGTCCTCGCCCGCCCGCGGCCTGACGGCTTTATAAAGGCCTCCCGCCCGCCCGGCCTGGCTCTGGTCTGGGCCCCTCGGCTTCCCAGCCGGACTCTGGCCGTCGGTCTGTCTGCCCGCCGGCCTTGGCGCAGAGAGGAGGCCCGGGAGGAAGGTCGCCGCCTCCTCTGCTCGGGGGACGAGAGGAAGGGAAGGGTCTGTCCCCAGCGAGGCTTAGCACCTTCCATGGACGGGCAGGGGCGGGGCTCAGAGGGGAGGTGACCAGTGACTTGGGCTGCGGGTTTGATCC